TGCATGGGCCCAAAGGGGTCTCCGGATGACATGACTGGGTGGCATGGCCTGGCCAAACCTGATCTCAGCAGGAGGGTGGCACCAGGGCTGGAGTAAGACTCAGAAAGAAGTATGGAACCCCCCCTGTGGACAGGGCAGTGAAGATGTGACAGTTGTCTGCAGATTCATTAAGGGCTTCTCAATTCTGTATGTGGGAACCAGGCATGGAGACACACACTTGTAGCCCCAGCACTTGGGAGGCTGAGGCAGGAGGATTGTGGCAAATTGGAGGTCACCCTGAGTTACACATCAAGACCTGTCTCAGAAAAACAGAAAGAAGCTACAGGAATGCAGATTTAGGTATCATATAAAGAGAACATTGTAAATAATGCAAGCGCTCAAAAATAGTGCCTTTTCCACTTGAGTCTTAAGTCACCGACTCCTTTTACTGGGTACAGGGTGATTATTTGGCATCTGGGCTCCTCTGCTGGAATGAGGCATTCTGGGAAAGTTTGCATTTGATTGAGCTTTGCTCCTGCCGCCTCTCATCCCAGCTCTTAGGAGGCAGAGGCAGGATTGCTTCAAGTTCAAGGCCGGCCCGGGCTACATAATGAGACCAAGGCCAGCCTGAAATACATAGTGAGACCCTGCCTCAAAACAATAGACCAAAAAAAGACATGGAGTGAATCATGGCAACCACATGAAATGGCTGTGAAGATTCAGCAAGGCACCGTGTGTGACTAGCAGATGCCAGCACTTGGAAGTCAGTGCTGCAGCTTCTCTGATGATTCTCATGCCTGAGGGGCTGCAGCATGGGCTGGAGGATCGGGCTAGGGGCCTGCCAATGCCACAGCTATTCCACGGGAATCAGGAAGGAAGCAAAGTGGAAAACAGACCGAGCCCTCATTTGAGTCTCTGGTACTGGAGACTTTCACAGGGACTTTTCCTGCCTTTGCCCTGATGCTCTCAGGCTGGGGTTTGGGAGCCGGGACTCTCCTGGTTCCCAGAAGACTGGGTGTCACTTAGTCCTGGAAAGGTCCCGAGAATCCCCGAATAGCTCAGCCCACCTCGGAAGCCCAGGCTCAGCCAAGAACAGGGCCAGAAAGTTCTGATTCAGTCACACCTGCTCTAGCTACAAGCCCTTAACCAATCCAAGCCCCTAAATCACAGCGATGACGTGGCACTCTTGGGAGGTGGCAGTGACTCTCGTGTGCCAGGTGCCCTGGGCTAGGAGGGGCCTCAGCAGCCTCAGAGCAAGCCCTCCACCTCCAGTAAGGTGGCTCAACTTGCCTGGCCTTCATAGAGCTGAAGGGCACCAGCACAGGTCCCCAGAGTCAGTGGGTAACAAACTCTGGGATGGAGAAGGTTTGGGGTGGACTTGGGAATCTGCACATTAATAAAAACCCTCGAGAAATGTCTCAGGGTCCCTGCCCTTAGGTTGCACATGACGGTGACAGGGAACAAGGTGGAATTGGATGAAAGCCTGGCTTTCTGGACCCCAGTACAGGGTGTTTTCCAGCCCAGATGCTTTTGAAGGCTCACACCTCCCGAGATGGCCCGATCACACCAAGTCTTTCTTGAGTCTACTCACTGTACCTCGTCGGGAGCAGAGTCAACCACCTGAGAAACACTCACACCTCCTGGAGACTCTGGAGAGTGTAATGAAATTGAAGGAGGAGGCCTGGTGGGGAGTCCCCAGGGCCGAGGAGCAAGTAGGTGCTGGGCTGGGTGCACGAACGGCACATGTGGCTTCCTGGGAAATAGCCATTCCCCTGGCAGAAAAGAGTGCCCTCATTGGGGGCAGCCTCTCCGTCCCGGCACAGCACCTGGCACCCGGGGCCGACTCAGTGGTCTCTGAGGCCAGGGCGTGGGGTCTCCGCAAAGCTGGAGAACAGGGAATGAAGGGGGCTGAGGATGCGGGGAGGTATGGCCTGGACGGTGAGGCCAGGAGGGAGCGGTGAGCAGTCAGCTGTGAGTCACGAGCCCCCACCGCCACCCCAGGGTCTATCTCTAGCAGGACCGGGCCCCATGGGCGACGTGCCTCAGCGTGATTGTGTGTGAGATTGCGTGGCTGGTGCGTGTGTCACGGAGGCCACGTGACTCCTGTTTCTGGTGGGTGTGTAACACACTGTATGCCCGTGTGACAGTGGCTTGGGTATGGTGTGGGTGCGTGTGACCGTCTGAGTGGTTGTGTGTTTGTGTGACTACGTGTTTAGCAATGGGCACTGTCTGTGGCCAGGGACCATTCTAAGGGAAAAGGGTGCTGGGTGAGTGGCTGTCTGTGTAGCTCTGTGCCACTCTGTGTTGAGACAGCTGTCGGGGATGTGCTGAAGTATGTGACACCATGGCACTGTCCCCAGGTGTGCCCGTGAGTCCACTGTGCCCCATGTGACCGTCTCTAAGCGATCCCCTGGTGGATGTCTGGCTTTGCATGTAGCTTGTGCATAGCTGGGTGTCGTGGCCTCAACCCAACTGTGTGTGTGTCACTGTGTGTCCCTCTGAGGGACTCGGTTGTGTCACTGTGTGTGACTGTGACTGTGGAATGTCACAGCACCCCCTTCAAGCACCTTCCTCTGGTGGCTTTGATGTGGTTGCATTTCCAGGGGCTGTAAGGACGCCTCCCTCGCTCGTGCGGACTTCAAAAGCCAGTGATCCAGTGATCCGGTGATCCTCTCTGTCCAGCAAGGGAAAACCCTTTCCCCCAACCCTGCCTGTCCCCTGCTGGGGGAGAGGCCTGTTTGTTTTCCTAGTTTTACTGTCTAGGATGAGTTCATGGCCGCAACTGAGTCACCACTCTTTCCGACAGACTTGGGGAAGGAAACAGGGGTTGCCTAGTCAGGGACTTTGCTTAAGAGCCCAGGCATTGAGCACAGGGACCAGGGAGACTTCTGGGCCCCTCGTGCACTGTGGGGACACCTAGGCCCTCTCCCGGAGGCCGAAGGTCACGGGTGCCTCTTCAGTCTCCTCCAGTCCCCACCCTCCTACCCAAGGAGAAGCCTCTGTCCTTATCTAAAAGCTCTCCCTGTCATTAGTCACAAGTCTGGCTGGAGAGGGAGCTGGGGCTGTGGGGTGCGTTGACGCACCTCCAGGTCCACCTCGCGCAGGTGAATCACACTCTTGGTCCAGCCGCAGCCAGAAGCCTCGCCTGTGTGACACTGTTTGGGCGCCCCCTATGGGCAGAGCCTGTCCAGGCCGCAGGCGTGGAGCGGAGGAAGGAGACAGGCGCCACGTGAAGGGGGAGACTCCGTCCTCGGCGCTGTCCCTTTCCACTCCCTATACCTATTGGGGGAGGGGACTCAGAGCTCCTCCTCCTAGGGCTGGGGCCCTGCGGCAGAATGGAGGGAATCTGACCCAAGGCTCCTGGGCTGGGAAAGGAGCTGGCCAGAGTGTGGGGGAGAACTTGAGAAGGCTTCTGGAAATCGGGACTCTGGCGCCGACAGGGAAGGACAACGTGGGCTGGAGGGTGGGTGACAGGGGACTCATGGGTGGAGCACACTCAGGAAGCTCTCGGGTGAGGTGACAAGGGTGGGCCTGCTCGCCCTGGTCACACAGCGGAGGAACTGTGCCCACGCAGAGCCTATGCGTGGGGCGTCCCCTCGGGATCTACCTGGTGTCCTCCGGCTGCAGCCAGCACCTGGGCACCCTTGTCCCATCACCCGGGAGGAAGCTCTGAGGCTGGGCCTCCTCCCTTCCCTCTGCTCTACTCTGGGAACCAGACACTCCAATTGTGTTCCCAGACAGTTCGGGGCCTGCAGGCCCTCCTGCCACTCGTCCACCCTGAGGGTGTCCCTGCCAGGCTGTCGCCCGGCCAGTGGCCGAGGTAGGAACACTTCCCTCCATCCCCGCCATCCCGCCTGGCTGCCTGGGCTTCATCCAGCTCCGGGGCCCGGCTGGCTCAGCAGATCCTACCCCTCCACCCACCACCTGGCCCAAAACTCCCCCTCTGTGAACTCAGAGGTGTCTGGGCCGCCCACCTCGAAGAAGGAACCTCAAAGAAAGAAGGTAGAAGGCTGCACTCTGGCCGGTGTGGGCAGCCTCGGTTTCCCGATCTAGAAAATGGGACTAATCGTGCCTGCTGGTTCCCAGGGCGGGTGGGGAGGCTGCAGTGAGCTCATGGGTGTGAAGGCCCTGGAGAGCCGTAAATAGTCCAGCGGGCCTCGTGGGAGGAGGGTGGGAGAGAGGCCGCATTATTCCTTGTTATTCCAGCTGGGCCTGGCCACACTGCGAGGGTCTCTGTGCCTCCAAGGGCTGCAGACAGCAGAATCCCAGGCCGGCAATTCACGAGGGCTGGTGACATCGGGCCTGCCAGGGCCGCACCAGGGACAAGGCCCGGGGACAGTGTGAGCCCGTGAAATGAGGGCTGTGAGCACCTGGAGAAGTGACTCTGAGGAGATTGAGGAGGGTCCGGAAGCCTGAGGTCACCGGATGCCACCCCAGCCTCTAGGAGGTGCCAGCAGGGAGAGGCCACTGTCATTCTGCCCCTGAGCCCTGGGGCCAGAGGCTGAGCGTGTTAGCTGGTGTGAGTGACAGGAACAGCTGTAGATTCCTCTGGAAAAGAAAACTCGAGTCGGGAGGGCCTGCTGCCCTCTTCTTGGCTGGTCAGGGAAGAAACAGAGCCCTCTCCATTTTCTTCAAATGGGCAAAGCAGCTCCTCCCCCAGGCACCCTCTCCCCTCCAACCATCCGTGTGGCTTCTCTTTCCCCCTAGGAGCTTTTGAACAGGCATGGGCCGCTCCCCTCCGGAATGTCCTCCTCCTCCTCGTGGGCCCTCCACTCCCCCTAGTCAGGTCTGATCCTGCCAACTTGCAGCCACCTGACCCTGGGCAAGTCAGGGCACCGCTTCAAGCCTCTGTCTCCCCATCTGTAAAATGGACTCAACACAACCTCTCAGCACGGTGACAGTGAGGAGAGCAAGTGAGGAGCGCCGAGTTCAGTTCCCGCTGCAGGAGAAGACCAGAAACACCTCACCCCTGCTAGAGTCCTCCCGTCACCTGTGTGTCTTGTGTGTGGCTTTGTAATCAATCAAAGGACAGACACGTATCAAGTACTTAGCATGTGTTTAACACGGCAGCAAGTGGAAGCAGCCAGCCTGGCACAAGGTGATCTTGGACATCCAAACTCTCCAACAGCATGGCCCTCGTGAAGGTTCTGGAGGAGACAGAGCTGTCAGGACAGGAAAGGAAAAGGACGAGCCTCTCTCCCACTTATTAAACAGCACCCATTTTCCTGAATTTTGCAATTTTAGCCACATTCCCACCTAGTATTCAAAATGCTGTGCTATCTCCATTCTACCCATAGAGAAAGAGAAGCCACGCAAGTTCCCGTAAGCCAGAGAATGAGGGAGAAAGTGAGTTAGGGGAGTCCTGAGCTCACGGAAGCAAAGCTGCCTGAAGGTTGGTTTTCCTGCTGCTTGAGGGGTGGACAGGGCAGGGATGACCAGGGACTCATGGGAGGGGCATGGAGGGCAGCAGGTGAGGGAGATGAGGCAGTCAGGGGTCCTTGGAGATGCCGCTGAGGGCCAGGACCCAGAGTGGGTCCCTGCAAGGAGGAGGAGGCGCTAGGATTGGAACCTGGGAGCCCGACCAGGCCTGGGCCTTGGCAACCTGGGCTCAGAGCTCAATGGAGAGGCCTGACCTGAGCATTTGCCAGGCTTTCTTCCCTGTCCCCCCGCCCCAGATTGGGGATGCCCAGCAGATGGGGACTGCAGGGTGTCCTGAGGTGGTAGGGTGTGTCAGGGAGGCCCTGGCTGGCAGCCCTGAGCCACCTCCCACTTCCTCCCCTTATTCTGCAGCCCTGAGAGCCGAGCGACCAGGTGTCATCCCTAAATTCCTGCAGGGTTGCCTCTCCTGGTCCTTGCGTGTGCTGCCCCACTTGCCTGTGGGTTATCTGGATGCCCTTCTGTGTGCCCAGCCCTGTGCTAGGTACTGAGCTTATACGTCACATCCTGTCCTCCTGGGCGTTACCGGTGGCAGAGGAGTGCACACCATAACCAAGTCATTACCTCGCTCACTGAAAGTGGCGAGAGAGCTGTAGAGACGGGGTAGGGAGTGGGACAGGAAGGAGCAAGGCTTTGGACTGAGTCCTTGAGAAAGGCCTCTGGAAGTCTCTTGAGTTTCTAGGAACAAGAGTAAGAAAAAGTGCAGGAAAGAGCAATATACCTGGAAGGAGTGGTCCATGCAAAGGCCCTGAGGCAGAGGGCCCAGGTGTGTGAGGAAGAAAAGCCTAGGGTCAAATAAATGAGAGAAGAGATGAGGTCCACAGGTGGTCAGGGCCTTAATGTTTTGAGTGAGATCGGAGGGCACTGAAGCACTTGCAGCAGGGGAAGGACTTGCATGGTGGGTGTTTATGAGGATCCCTTCCGATCAAGAGATGGGGGAGTGCGTACAAAGAACAAGACATGTTCTGTCCATGTTCCAACTTCCCACGACAAATGCAATCACTATATACTGCAAACATTCGCTGGTAACAGTTCTAAAACACAAAGACCCTTTGGGCTGAGGGGGGAGGCCGAGACCACTCTCACCCTTCCCCTGCAGGAGTTCCATGCCCCCTCTCCCCGACTCCCTGCACAGCTACACACAGGCTGGGGACATTCCAGAGGACTGGCTTTGTTCAGTGAGAAAGGAGACCCCACGGAAGTGGCTACTGTAGTACTTCCGGTTGCTTTTGGGGGGGGTCCCTCTGTGCCCGGCCTGCTGTGGGGTGCCTCCGTGTCCTGGCAGCGCCTGACCAAGTTACACACCAACTGCATGGAGAAGCTGTCTTGGTGAGGCGGAAAGCTGGGGAGGCCAGAGGGTGAGGGCAGCCAGGCTGGGGACCTCCGCCCTCTGCTGCCCCCTCACACCCTCCAGAGCCCTGGCTGCCTGGGCAGGGCTGGGCGAGGCCACTGTCTGGGTGGGGCATGTGGTGGAAGCTGGTGGCCCCCTAGGGCTGACCCTGGGGATGGCCGCCCAGCAGCAGCCTAGGAAGGGACTGACTCAGATCCGGAGGGCTGCACGAGGCAGCCAGGCTGAGGTCACGGTCTGGTGGCAGGAGGTGGCCTCCTGACTGGTCCTCCGCCCCAGCTGCTGTTTGTCCAGAAGGCCCTCAACCAGAGCCAGGGCCTCCCTGGCTTCCCTGTGGCTCTCTGGGGCGCCCAGTGTGGCAGGGCTGTGTTCCCACCCTTCCTGCACAGTAGCTGGGGGAGGCGACCCTGCCCACAGGCCCTGCTCTAAGAGGGACCCACATCTAAAGAACACAGAGATGCCCTTGTGGGGACTCTTCTGAGCACAGTGGTGGCAGCGGGCCCAGGCCAGGCCCTAAGACCCTTTGAGGACACAGTGCCCCCCAAGTCTGCCTGTCCCCCATCCTCTGAGTGACAGTGGGGCTCAAAGGCAGCCACGGCTCTGACAGCCCACTGTGGTCATCCCTGGGAGTGGGACACAGCACCTGGGGACAGGCACTGTCCTGACGGAAGGGGTTCCTGGTGCCCCGTGGGCCACTCACTGCCCTCTGTACCCCAACCACCTTGCCCGTGGTGCACTGAATCAGGGGTGAGTATGATGGCACCTGGCTGATGGGAGGTTCCGTCCCCACTGGCTCCCGGAGGCCACCTCCTCACCCCCAGCCTGGCCCAAGAGGCCGCCAGCGCCCTCCTCCACAGTGGTTGCCGCTGTCAGAGCTTGTTTGCCCGCAGGCTTCCTGCCCGGTGCCTCCTCCCCTCATCTCCCAGACCAGGAACAGCAGCCAGAGACCTGGGACGTGGGAGAACAGCCAGCGTCTTGAGCTGGGCCAGGGCAAGTCTGCGTCCCTGGACCCGGCAGGAGAACGGAGTGCCTTGTGGACGGCGCCTGGGGGGTTTCCCGCCTGGGGTGACCAGCAACGAACCCCAGTAGGGAAGACAACACTAAGCCTCAGGTTCTGAGAACATAGCAAATTGGACTTTAGATTTGAAGCCATGAAAATCAGGAGGTGGTGGGGAAAGACGTAGATTCCAAATGAGGAAAAAGAGCTTTATGTTGTATTTACTTTCTATGTTTTGGTTTTTTTTAGGTGCGGTCTTGCTACGTAGCCCAGGCAGGCCTTGAACTCCATCCTCCTGCCTCAGCTTTCTGAATGCTGGGATTACAGCCAGGTGCCACTACACCCAGCTTTATACCAGTTTTATATACTGGTTGTTGTCCCAGCCATCTCAGGATGCCACTGGCTGCTTTGGGAGAGAGTGAGCTGCCCATCAAAGGAAGCATTCAAGTAGAGGCTGCAAGATTAATTATTCTCTCTGAATATTCATTGAGTACCTTCTGTGGGCCGCCCAATCCAGGTAGTCGCTGGGGAGTCACATGGTAGTTTAAAGTCCCTTCCAGCCTTGATATCCAGCACAGGGTTAACGTCCTCATCAGAGGAGGTGGCAGGGACTAAGAGAAAAAGCCTCCACGAGGGGCTGGGCACGGGCCAGGCCTGAGGCTCTGGAGCCTGCAGGAGCCCTGGGCAAGCTGCTGCTAGACATCAGCCCCCGCCCCAGGGTGGAGGGGCTTAGGTCCTGGGGGTGCGGGCGGCAAAGGGGAGCCAGACAGCTTCTTACAAAGTGGCAGGCAGGTGAGCAGGGCTCCCAGTGATAATTAAGGAACAAAGGTGCCGAGAAGCAGGGAGGTAGCGCGGGCCTCTGGGGCAGGCGGGCTAATGGGAGCCTGGAGGAGAGGTAATAACAAGCGGACGGGCTGAGCAGACAGCGCGGCGTCGCTACGCCCACAAGCCGCCCCCTCGCCCTCCTGCGCCAGAACAATGACCAGAGCGCCCCGGCAGGGTGGAAACGGGGCGGAGCGTGCGCGTGCGTGCGTGGGGGGATGCGGAATAGCAGGGAGCGGGGCTCGGGGGACGGATGAGCCCAGGAGGCGGCGCAGATGATGTCCCCACGGAGGCAGAGAACTTGGGCAGGTGGACACTCGCCTGGCATCCTAGGGGCCTGGGAGGAAGTGCCCCACCTGGTCCCAGAGGCGGCGGGGCGCCCACCCACGTCCATGTCCCAGGACTCACCTCCTTCACGCTCCAGGTGGGCACCGAGGCAAGAGCACTGGGCTTGGAGTCCTGGGGCCCAGCTCCTCTTCAAACAGAAGTGTGACCCTTGCTAGGTCTCCTCGTCCGCTGAGACACAGACAGCGATTGGTACTGCGCAGGACACACCGAACAACCCATCGGGCTGGTGTAGAAAGGGTCCTGGCTCATATCACCCCCAGTACGGGAGTCCCCAGACCAGATGCAAATCAGAGCCTCACACAGAGCTGCACACCAGCCAGCCCGCAAGAGCAAAAGCTCACGCGCCATCCGTACTCCCCAGTCCCACCTCCCGCACGCACACCGTGTCACACGGGGCGCGCAGAATCCACAGGGCGGTGCACCTCTGTGACGTTAGCTCCTCACCTTCTCACCCAAAGAGAACCCTGCAAAGCCCCCCCAACCGTAGTGCACGCTCCTGCTAATGCACAGCGCCCTGGCGATGAACACGGTGGTGGATTCCACGCACACTCACGTGTGCCTAGGTGTACGCATGCGTCTGTACGCAGTTCTGCACCTGCCTAAGACTTTGGCAATGGGCTGGGAGAGCAGGTAGGTCGGCCCCTGCTTCAAACCCGGACACCATTCCATGCTGTCACAGCTCTTGGGTGTCTTCACACTGGAGGGTTTGCATGCACGTATGTCTGACCACATACACAGCCCGGATGTGCACTTGGCTAATACTGTAATTTATATCTTCCTCTTCCCCATCCCTCTTTACCCTAATCCGATACAGCACAGTGCTGTCTAATTCTTCTTTCCAAGACTTAGCTTTCTCTGCTGCTCCGATACCCACCTGGCTCCCTAGGGCCCACTCCACCCCACATTCCTCTCTCCAGTTCCTTAGTGGCTTTTCCAGCTTCCCAGAACCTATTACAGGACATCGATGCTGTTGCCCAATCCAGTCTTTGAATTTCCTTTATCCGTTTTTTTTGTTTGTTTTGTTGTTTGAGACAGGGTCTCACTACGTAGTTGAGACTGACCTGGATGGAACTCACTGTGTAGCTCAGGCTGGTCTCAAACTCACAGAGATCCTCCTGCCTCAGCCTCCCGAGTACTGGGATGACAGGCGTGGGCCACCACGCCTGGCTGATGTTTTTTTGTTTTGTTTTGTTTTAAAGACAGGGTCTTACGTGGCTCAGGCTGGCCTCAAACTCAGAATTCTCCTGCCTCAGTTTTCTGAGTGCTAGGATTACAGGATTGTGCTACCATGCCCAGCTCGATTTCTTTTGTTGTTGTTTTGTTTTTTTTGAGACAGGGTCTCACTACGTAGCTCAAGCTGGTCTCGAACTCATAGCGATCCTCCTGCCTCAACCTCCTGAGTGCTGGGATTACAGGCATATGCCACCACACCCCAGCTCTCCGGTTCGGATTTTTAAAACACAAGCAGATTTGGTTTTGTTTTCCTCCTAGCTTCCTTGAGATACACCCTTCACAAGTCACAGGTCACTGCCAAGCCTCCCCATGAGGTTCCAGTAATGAGTTGGCCGCCTTTATTTCACTACAGGCAGCTTCAGTTATTTGAGCTTAATCTAATAAAGGTGTCCAATCCAGGCAGGTTCAACTTCTGCTGCCTCCTGGAGGCCTCCAGCAATCTGTGGCCCAGGGTTCCACGTGCAGCACCCCTGCCTTCCCACTGGCCAGTGCTTCACAGGGGAGGCAGGTGAGGCCTCTGTTCTGCCGTGAGGCTCTGAGCCTGTTGGGAACACGATGACTGAAGAGCGCTGGTGCTCGAAGATGGAGGGTCCAGGTGTGAACAGGGCTGTCCTGGTGCGTTCTGGGAACACACAGAAACGGCTGAGACATCAGAGGTGCACACCAGAGCCCCGCTGCGCCTGCTCTTGGCCTTGATGTTTTGAGACCTAAGACTAGGGTCTCCACATCCCCCTTTCTGCTCACCGCCGGATGCCCCAGCAGGCCTGGAGCCAGCCCTCTCAGCTCTTTCTGATGGGGTGGCTTTGGGCTCCCTGCAGCCGCTCTGAAGATTGAATGGAACCTCAGGCTGAGGGACCCACAGGGGTGAAGGGCAGGGGAGATAAGGCCAGGGAGTCTGGAGTCTCCAATCCACAAGAAAGAGGGAGAGGAGGCTGAGGCAGGAGGGCTTGGGAGGAGGCGCGCACTGTGTGCCATTGTACCCCCAAGGCTGGCAGTGTCTGGACGTCGTCCCATGTGACCTGTGACCACAGGGGGCTATGTCCCCATTGCTATGGGTTCTACTAGCCCTGGGCAGAGACTGTCCTTGTCGCAGACATCTGAGGGATGGTCAGAGTCCCCCTACGGGAGAGGTCAGGAGGCCCCCAAGTCCAGCCTGGCTCTGCCTTTCAGTCACCCAGGAACAAGTCAGCCCCCCAGCCAAGCCTCCTTTTGCTCTTCTATCAGACAGGAGAAGGGACATGGGAGAGGCGGTCTCTTGTCACCCCCTGACCGGCAGGCCATGGCTCTCTACGGGTCGTGGGGTGGGATAGGAGGGCCAGCTCTGCCCTCTGCCCGCCTGATTGAGCCCCTGGCTGCCAGTTACCACCTGGCTCTCAAAGACGGCAGTGGCAGGAGCCAGTCGGGGATCCTCCGGCCTCCTCAGACCAGCCAAGGTCTCGGCTAGCTTCCCCTAGAGTGTGCATTGTTCGATGCCCAAGTCCTGCAGATGCCTGAGGCATTCAGACACCCATCATCCCAGCTGAGCCCCAAGTTCCTGCCCACCAGCGGGTCCCACGTGATGGAGAGCCATTTGCCACGCCCCTGGAAGGGCACCCTTTCCAGGGAGGCCCAGCTGGGTCAAGGCTCCAAGAAGGGGCAGCAGTAGCAGAGGAAAGGACAGGCCTGTCAGGTGGGGCGGGCCAGCAGGGCGTCAGGGTGGCCTGGGAAAGGACCTGGAGAAGCAAGCAGAGGCCAGGCTTTTGTGACCACGCCAAGGAGCCCACAGGAAATGGAGAGCAATGGAGCAGCCCACCCCAAAATGTGTGGAGCCCAGCATAAGAGTACAGTTGGAGGGCCACAAGTTGAGATAATGAATTGCTAAATAAAATGTGGTCTTTCTACCTCAACTGACAATATTGCTTCATAACAACAAAATCAGAAATTTGCATAAAGCCAAATTTTTTATATGGCTGAGTATTTATGTGACTAAATTATTCTAAACCGAGAATGGTGGCACACACCTATAATCCCAGAACTCTAGGAGGCTGAGGCAGAAGGATCCCAAGTTTGAGTTCAGCTTGGGCAATTGAGCAACTTAGCTAGATCATGTCTCAAAATTAAATTTTAGAAAATTTAAAGGATTGGGCATGTAGATCAGTATGAAGGCCCTGGATTCAATCCCCAGTAAAATACACACACGTTTTCAAATTGCCAGGCATTGTGGCACATGCCTGTGATAATCCCAGCACTCTGGGAGGTTGAGGCAGGAGGATTATAAATTCAAGCCCAGTTTGGGCAGTTTCATGATTTAGTGAGAACATATCTTGAGAAAAAGAAAAAAAAAACTTTAAAAGGGAGAATATAAATTTATAGCTAATGAGTATCAAAACATTAATATTTAATTAAATCTACATTTGAATGCAAAATTGTGTAAATCTAATTAAGTAGGATTTTTAAAATAAAATTTAATTCTTTGTAATTCTAATCTTCAGTGTCCTCCAAATTGGCAGTGTAAAGATTCAATATTATGGGGTCGGAGATTTGGCTCAGTGGTTCGGCCGCCTGCCTTGCAAGGGCCTGAGTTCAAGCCCCAGTACCAAAAAGAAAGAAAGAAAAAGATTAAATATCAGCCAGGACAGAGGCACACGGCTATAATCCCAGATCTCAGGGAGGCTGTGGCAGAAGGATCCCAAGTTTAAACCCAGCCTGGAAATGGAATGCAGTTCAGTGATGAGAGTGCCCCTGGGTTCCATCACTAGTGCTGAAAAAGAACAGAAAGATTCCCTATTACATTTAACGAGCATCCCACCTAGACCCTCCTTTACACAAATGGAATTGTACCAGTTATTTAGCAGATCAAAATGCTTCTCACCCATCACTCCGCTTGCATCTGTTTTGAATACTTCGCAAATTTGTGAGTACCCTAGGACTCAGAGAAACAAGGGCATGGGCAGTCAGTGCTACTAGCAAATTTTGTTACACAAGAACCCATTGCTTTATTCTTGTATAGAAAAAAATCCGGTGATCCAGGCATGGTGGTGCACGCCTGTAATCCCAGCACTTGGGAGGCTGAGGCAGGAGAATCACCATGAGTTCCAGACCAGCCTGGGCTACATAGTGAGTTCCAGGTTAGTCTCAACTAAAGAGTGAGACCCTGTCTCAAAAAACAAACAAACAAACAAAAAAATCCGGTGGTACACATGTCTCTGAAAGGGAGGAGGAGTTAACAGAGATATCGATATATTTTTTTATTTCACCCCAGGACTCCCACAAATCCCACTTCTGGCACTGGCACGCAGACAGGATTGTTATTTACTTTGACCTCTTAGAGCAAGAATCCCCTTACTGGGGCTTGGTGGGTGGGAGTCACGGGTGGGTTGCGCCCTGCAGAACAGACTCTGCACCCCTTGGGCTGCTGGGGACTCTCTAGCCAAGGTCTCACCCTGCTTTATGGTCTGGGTCCCCAGCCAGGCTCCCCTTCTGGCTCTGGCCGGCGATTCATAAACAGATGTGGAACGGAGAATAACACTGCAAATCTCATGTTAGAGAGGTGACGGGAGCTCTGGGGAAATGGCCCAGAGTGGGGAACGGGGAAGGAATTTCTGGGTGACAGAGGGTGGAAGCCTGGACTGGAGGAGTCCGGTGAATTCAGAGTGGTAGAGAGTGATTTAGGAAGCAAGAAAGTTCCTTCTCCCTTTCCCACTATCTAGGAATCTTCTCTTGCATGTTGGGATGGGCCAATTATTTCAGAGCCCAAGTGAGAGAAATTCAGAAGTAGGGACAAAAGGTGACCCAGAGGAACCTGGTCTGGAGGTGTCGATGGCCTCCCGTATTCAGTGGGAGCTTTAGAAGGCACAGCCTGGCTGACCGTCCCCAGGGAGGGCTGTGCCTTCAAGCACCCACCAGGCACTCCAGGGTCCCGAGTTACAGCTCAGGAAGTGCTGCTCTGGACTGGGTGCAAGGCCAGGACAAGCACTGGCCCCAGAAGCCATTCTCGGGCAGGGCCCGAGTGGTTTGAGGCCGAGAGCCTGAAGGCGCAAGGCTGGACCAGATGACCTCACAGGGAACCCTTCCAACTTCAGGCTCCCGATCCCAAGGGCTAAGACTCCGCCCGCGTCCTCCACACGCCGCCATGTCTACACCTGGCAGATGGTTA